AATTATTGTTATTTTTAAGTTAAATGTGATTTAATAAAGTACTAAATAATTCATGTTTTTGAACCGGATGAACTAAGATATTTTGGTTTATTTATAATTGCATTTGACTATATCGTATTTATAATTCTTTTTTTATTGTATCTTATTTATAATTCTTTTTTTATTGTATTTTATTTATAATTCTTTTTTTATTGTATCTTATTTATAATTCTTTTTGTATTTTATTTATAATTCTTTTTGTATTGTATTTATAATTCTTTTTGTATTGAATTGTATTTCTTTGTAATAAACAGATGATAATAATACTATCGAGAAACAAAATTTTGACATTTAAAAAGCACTAGAATATCTGGTTAACAGATAAGTTAGACATGCTATTATTTACATTAGATTTTTGGGTTAACAAAATACAGATATTTTGACAAATACGCCAAAATCTCGAACTAATTTAACTAAACTAAATGAATGCTTTCAAGGTCTTTTTTACAATTCTATGTTTTTCTATACATCTGTCTGATTAGATGTCTCTTTCTCTGTCTGTCTTTCTGGTTTCGTTTGTCTGTCTGTTTATATGTGTTTAACCCTTCATTCGTTACTTCAATGACACAAAAACGTAGTTAGAAAGCTTACAAAACCGTGGGCTTTAGTTGCATATAATTATGAGGACTTGTGCCATCATATGCATTATATTTCTAGAGTTCATTAGCTATTACGCACTTTGTCGTCCCAACATAACACTAGACCTAAGCCAATGTAATGAATAGGTAAATTTGAAAGATTACAATATTAGAAAATAAGGTTATGCTTGTTTTGTTTGTTTGTTTTGTAATTATGCACAAAGCTACAGAATGGGCTATCTGTGCTCTGCCCATCACGAGTATCGAAACCCGGTTTCTAGCGTTGTAAGTCCGCAGACATACCGCTGTGCCACTGGGGGGGGGGGGCAGGTTATGCTGAGCTGAGTTCGTATAAACCTGGTAACGTATTACCAATTGCAAGAATTTCACGAATCTGTAATTGTATTTCTTGATAAGCTTGACTAAAGATGATGAAATTGCAGTTCCAACAAAAGTGAAAACTCTGCACTAGCTGAACATGCAAATTATACTGGACATGTCAACCAGTGGAAAAAAAAAACTGTTATTCTGACTCAACCGAGTAATATGACGGCTAGAAATATTAAAAAAACATTAGAAACAATGAAACACAGTAAAAACAATTTGATCTTAAATAAGGATGAAGGGTTACGAAATATCTTATTAAAGGGTTTAAAAAGAACTAACGTTAGGTCGTAGAATAATATTATAAGTTTACTTACTGCTAGTATTAAGTAAGATAAAGTTTAGCCCTAACTAAAATAAATCAAAAAACGTACACAACTTACAGTGTTAATTTATCTCTTTATCGAATATAGGCCGTACTCAGTAAAGGCTTAACTAATACTAATTTGACCACACATTTTGCAGGTCTCTGGTAGTTTTATAATAATAGTTTTACAAGTTATTGAGCTTCTACTTACAAGTGTACAATTATTTTATGGCTTAATATAATAACTAACAATTTTTTATATCTTCTCTATATTTGTAAAATACCATATAATGCTTTACTTCCTTCTAATTTGTTTGCTTTTCTTATGCTGAACAGACTGATTTTCAAATATTTTATTTATTTGCTTTTTTAAATAATAGAGAATATTTAAACAACTGTTTGCACTGTTTATGTACTGTTTTCTATCTGGTATTTTGGACTTTAATTAAATTTAATCTAGTAACCTGTATTTTTCTACCCAAGAGCTCTAATTCTAGTTGGTTCTTCCTTAAAAGCAAAATGCGATCAAAAAGAATATAGCGCCCTCTGTAAGTAAGTATTTTTCTCATTGTTATCTTACGGGCATTTCTTCCGTGATATTTCGGGATTTATCTTCATTTTCATGAGACTTGTTACACACACACACACAATTGTCGATTTTCGTTAATAATTTATGTACTTGCTATAGCGAATATTCTATAAAAAAATATAAGCAAAATGTTACTTTCTATATTCTCCGTGCCCAGTTCTAATTAAACAAGCCTGCGATGGTTTTTATTGTCTTGAAATTTTTCGCTGAATACTAAAATGATATCCATTTTTCTTCATCACGTACAGATTTTTTCACAAAACGTCATAACGCAATACATAAAAGAAAGACCACAGCACGTAGTTTAGAGACTAAAAGACGTAAATTTCACAAAAAAATCAGGATGAATAAGGATGCATATTCGTTTGACATCAATGTTCTTCCCTTTTCTTCAGTTTGTTTGTATTTTTGTTAACAAACATAATAATAAAAAATGTTCATTGTGGTAAGCGAAATGATAATTTGATCTAAGTAAGAGTTTTTCTCTTCCCGATTTGTAAAAGAAAAAAAAAATCCTTACGTGATAGAAAAAAAAGAATATTATTTTCGAAATCTGCATAGCTGAATTATAGAACATCCATTATTAAAACCAAAACAACTTTTATGAAGTTTAAATTCGCAGGCCTGTGTAATTTTGGAATATTAGTATTTTAGCAAAGAACGTCTGAAATATTGACACCCCCTCACCCAGGTTTGGGCTCTTCCCTTGTAGCCATTCCAGAACAGCAGGTTTAACATAGAAGACCTCCCAGCCTACAGAGTGGACACTGATACGACGTGTAGCCAACAGTTTGTTTCTTTCTTTTTTGCTGATTGTTTCGGGAAGCATTATTTGGTACACCTGCACCTGAAATGACGAATACAATATATATATATACATTCTAGAGAAACGATAACACAAAATTATAGCAATAATCATCATTACAAATTTGACGTCTTTACATACACATTACTACATAGTGATGTGAATAATTTGAAGAGCTAACCTACTTCCGGTTCTCTAAAGTAAGTTCCAGTCATTGTTTATATTGTTGTTACTGGTGTTGTAAAAGCCAGTTAAGGTATAAAATGAAATAGAATTCAGTAAAGTTTAATAAGATCAGAACTAGATATGAAATTATATATTGTGATAAGCAGCTGGATGTTTAATTTTCTCCTATTTACATGTATAAATTAGAAAACAACTAATGGTCTTTCAAAGTGTGTCTTTTGTTTTTGGTTAGATATAGTACTCGAAGAAAATGAGTGAAAACCAGATGAACAAACTGAAGCGACTAAGTACGTACTTTGTTAGCAACGAAAAATATCATGTGCTTTAACTAATTGTAAAGTTTTAAGAAATAGCACATTCATCGAAACCTCTTCCGCGATATCAAGAAACATTAATCAGACACTTTCTTTCTCGTGAAATGTTGCTATACATCGCAAACTTTATATTTATAAACATAAATACACTTTAAAAAATAATTGTGAACTTCTGTTCCGGTGTTTGGACAATATTGTACCTAATTATTATGAAAAATGGCATAATTGTTTAGTTAAACTAGTGTAAAATGCCTGCATTCTGCTGCATGGTTCAAACCATTCTCATGATTCACAGAGGCTCCAATGAACCTACCAAGCTCCTCCGTTATCCACAATCACTTCTCTAGGTACCGCAAGAGGGATCCGTACCCGACAAAAACCCGCTAGGTCGCCCGCCCGTGGTTCCTGACCACACGTGCCTAGTTTGGTCCTCAAGATTGTGAGTGGGGATATGAATACAGTTTTAAAAATAGACCCCCCGCGATCCTGTTGAGTATCAGGATACATACTCCGGTGCCTGGTTTGAGATTAGCGACCATACAAACCTCCTCCTGAACCTTCAGCATACCTGAGAGATTTTCCGGGTCCATTTTAGCTCCCTTAGTACGGCAAATAAATAAGGATAGAGGGGTAACGTCATATAGATAAGAACCCCTCCCCCTTAGGCCACCCGACTTCGCCTGCCAAGCTTAGTCCTACTAATAATGGCTGGAGACGGCTTAAATGGGTAATGAAGAAAAACTTTAATATAAGTTTAACATAACAGCAAATGTACAACGTTTCGATAAGGTATTGTCGAAACGTTGTACATTTGCTGTTATGTTAAACTTATATTAAAGTTTTTCTTCATTACCCATTCAAGCCGTCTCCAACCATTATACATTAGGTAAAGTTATCAACTTCATAAGGTAATGTTATCAACTTCATAAGGTAA